TACTAAGCCATAAGCATGTCATAGTATAGTAAGGCATAAAAACATTAAAAAATGTCCTAGTATAGTAAGGCATAAAAATTACAAAATACGTCATAGTATAGTGAGGCATAAAATATCATAAAAAAGTCATACTATAGCAAGGCATAAAAATGTCTCAAAACGTCATAGTATGCTAAGCCATAAAAACATCATGTAAAGTAAGTCATAAAATGTCCTAGTATAGTAAGGCAAAAAATTACATAAAAATGTCATAGTATAATAATGTATAAAAACATCAAAAAACATCACAGTGTACTAAGCCATAAGCATGTCATAATATAGTAAGGCATAAAAACATAAAAACGTCATATTATAGCAAGGCATAAAAACGTCTAAAAACGTCATAGTATACTAAGCCATAAAAACATCATGTAAAGTAAGGCATAAAATGTTATAGTATAGTAAGGCATAAAAACATTAAAAAACATCCTAGTATAGTAAGGCAAAAAATTACATTAAAACGTCATAGTATAGTAAGGCAAAAAATGTCATAAAAATGTCATGATATAGTAAGACATAAAAATGTCAAAAACCATCACAATATACTAAGCCACAAGAATGTCATATTATACTAAACCACTAGAACGTAATAGTACAGTAAGGCATAAAAATGTTATAGTATAGTAAGGCATCAAATTTCATACTAACATCATAGTATTGTAAGGCATCAAAACACATAAAAATGTCCTAGAATACTAAAGCATAAAAGCATTAAAAAACATCCTAGTATAGTAAGGCATAAAATGTCATAAAAATGTCATATTATAGCAAGGCATAAAAACATCTAAAAACGTCATAGTATACTAAGCCATAAAAACATCATGTAAAGTAAGGCATAAAATGTCCTAGTATAGTAAGGCATAAAATGTCATAAAAACGTCATACTATAGCAAGGCATAAAAACGTCTAAGAATGTCATAGTATATTAAGTCATAAACACATCATGTAAAGTAAGGCATAAAATGTCATAGTATAGCAAGGCATAAAAACATTAAAAAAACATCCTAGTATAGTAAGGCAAAAAATTACATTAAAACGTCATAGTATAGTAAGGCAAAAAATGTCATAAAGATGTCATGATATAGTAAAACATAAAAACGTCAAAAACCATCACAATATACTAAGCCATAAGAATGTCATATTATACTAAACCATTAGAACATAATAGTATAAAAAGGCATAAAAATGTCATGTAAAGTAAGGCATAAAATGTCATAGTATAGTAAGGCATAAAAACATCATAGTATAGTAAGGAATAAAAACATTAAAAAAACGTCCTAGTATAGTAAGGCATAGAATTTCATAAAAACGTCATAGTATAATAAGGCATAAAAACATCAAAAAACATCACAGTACAGGCTGATCACAGTGTACTAAGCCATAAGCATGTCATAATATAGTAAGGCATAAAATGTCATAAAAATGTCATACTATAGCAAGGCATAAAAACGTCTAAAAACATCATAGTATACTAAGCCATTAAAACATCATGTAAAGTAAGGCATAAAATGTCCTAGTATATTAAGCCATAAACACATCATGTAAAGTAAGGCATAAAATGTCATAGAATAGTAAGGCATAAAATTTCATAAAAACGTCTCACTATAGCAAGGCATAAAAACATCTAAGAATGTCACAGTATATTAAGCCATAAACACATCATGTAAAGTAAGGCATAAAATGTCATAGTATAGTAAGGCATAAAAACATTAAAAAACATCCTAGTATAGTAAGGCAAAAAATGACATAAAAATGTCATAGTATAATAATGTATAAAAACATCAAAAAACATCACAGTGTACTAAGCCATAAGCATGTCATAATATAGTAAGGCATAAAAACTTCAAAAAACATCACAGTGTACTAAGCCATAAGCATGTCATAATATAGCAAGGCATAAAAACGTCTAAAAACGTCATAGTATATTAAGCCATTAAAACATCATGTAAAGTCAGGCATAAAAACGTCATAGTATACTAAGGCATCTAATGTCACAAAAATGTCATAGTGTAATTAGGCTTAAAAACATCTAAAAACGTAATGGTATACTAAGCCATAAAAATATCATGTGAAATAAGGCATTAAAAGGTCATGATATAGTAATGTCTCAAATGTCATAAAAAAGATCATAGTATAGTAAGGCATAAAATGTCATAAAAACATCATAATATTGTAAGGTATTAAAATGACAAAAACATCACAATATACTAAGGCATCAAATGTCATAAATACCTCATCGTAAAGTAAGGCATAAAAACGACAAAATACATGATAATATAGTAAGGCATAAAATGTCATAAAAACATCATAGTGGAATTAGAAACAAAAACGTCAAAAAAAGGTCATTATATACTAAGGCCTTACAGTTACCAATAAACCTGATGTGCATGTCTTTGGACTGTGGGAGGAAGCCGGAGTAGTCGGAGAGAACCCAAGCAGGTACAGGGAGAGCATGAAAAAACTCCACACAGAAGGGCCCCAGACCCAGGGTTTGAACCGAGAACCTTTTCACTGTGTGGTGACAGTTCTGACCACTGCACAATTGTGCCGCCCCATAAATAAATCATAATATAGTAAGGCATAAAAACATTTTATGTTTACTCCTGCTAGCAACCTGACTGCTAGCCTACAGAATACAGAAGCCAGGGTTAGCTTGCTAGATAACATTAAATAACATCAGTTGATATTTTTCTAGTGACGCCAGGTACCACTGTGATATTCTCACATGACGTAAGCCTTCACAGAGCCCCGCCCTTTCAGTCAATCAAATTCTAGCATCAGTTGTCAGTAAATCAGTTGTCTTGGAGACGAATCCTCTGGGAGGGTACATTGAAATCATCTAATATGACTTCACCACAAATAGTGTGAACAAGTTCACTCAAATATTGGTCGGGACAATTCTGTCCTCCCAAAATATTGGTTAGGCCATGTCCCTACCGTCCATATGCCAATTTGCTCTAGACTGAGTTTTAAAGCAGTCACAGGAGCCCCCATCCATGTAATCTCCATACCATGTAATCCATAAAATGAACAGATGATGATAATAACAAGAGATTTGTCTGCTGTTTGTGATGCTCTGTTAGGTTTTCACTGGTAGACTAAAACCAGAATCAACAGGAAACACAGACCACATCAGAAGAGGAAATGGTTCTCTGTTTCACAAACAACATGTGGTATGACTGTGATTAAGAAATAATTGACTTGGGAGAGTCTTGTGTGTGTAAGTGTGTGTATGTGTTGAAACTAGACTTTGTAGGAACTACTACTACCGTGGGAAAATGATGAGTTTTAGCTCTCCAGCTGAATGGAAAGGCCATCACTTGGGCTTTTTGTCTGTGAATGAGAATTCATTTATATTTTATTCCATTCAGCATACTGATAAAGTACCTTTAAGCTAGTTGTTTGGAAGTGTGCACAGTGTCAGGTAGAGCCTCTTTACAAGGAAAATCTTTGTATAAAATGTGTGAAATAAAGTGATGAGCTACAGAATCATCCACATACAGAAAGTGTTCAGACCCCTTACATTTTTTCACATTTTGTTATGTTGCAGCCTTATGCTAAAATAAAAAAAAACATTTTTCCCTCACCAATCTACACTTAATACTGTATAACACAAAAAAATTGTATTCACCTTGTTATTACATTGTATTGAGTGTAGATTGATGAGGGATATTTCATTTTAGTATAAGGCTGAAACATAACAAAATGTGAAAAAACTGAAGGGTCAGAACATTTTCTGACTGCAGTGTAAACGACTGGGTGTCATAAGAGATAGCTCGAGAAGGTGTATGTGTGCTTTTAAGATGATGGGTGTGTGTCTGTACAGTGTGCCAATAATATGTTGTGTAAACAGATGATAGAACAAAGAAAGCCGATATGATTTGACAGCATACTTTTTTTAGCAACTGTGATATCAAGTAGGTTTAGCCATGAGACAGTTGTGAACCTGCTGTACGTCAGAATTAATGGCAAAATATATAGAAACTATAAAAATATATATTTTTTTAAATTCAAGTATAAATTACATTCAATTCTAAATTAAATCAAATAAAAAAAAAGAAATTACATTTAAAAATGTACACTTTAAATATAATTAAATAAAAAAATCGAAATTGTAATAAACGAAAACTTAAATGAATGCTTAAATCAAATGCAGCATTGAAATAATAACTAAATAACTAAACTAAATAAGGTAAAATGTATCCTTTTCATTTGGTGATTTAATTTACCCTTAATGGACTGTAGAACAAATTTGAGTCTGAAAAGCAAATTTTTGGTTTGAGGAATAATTTTCACAAGTATTTCAAATTCATCAGCACTGTAAACTGCATTTATACAAGGCTCCAGAAGTGGAGAGTTGTGCTGTAATTTCTGATATTGCTGGATTGTTTTACTTGGTCGGTGAGTTGATTTGATTATTAACTCACCCATCATCAAAATATGGGTTTAAATGTTTTTTTTTTAACTAAACACTGGCATATTATCTGCATCATTTGACTAATTGTGAGTGGGTCTTGGTGACTTAGGAGATCTCTTGATTACTTTAAATGTTTCTCAGACTTAGGACCTACTTTTAACCACTAAATGTTCAGTTACTCTTAGGGTAAATAACTTGGAAGTCCTAAAGTTAAGACTGACACACACTTTATTCTTTGAGTTTCCCTTCTCAGCCAGTTACAAGTTACTTTTAGTGTTACGTTTTTTGAATACATCCCGTTGTGTAACTCAAGCACTGCAATGGTCAGAGCAGCAGACAGCAGAACATATCTTATTTATGACAATATGTCTGCACATGAAAGCAGGGAGAATCATTCACAATTCATATTGCCCCACACACTCCTGACCTGCTGCATTAGACTTTTAGGGGAAGATATGAGGTTATATCATGGTGGTACAGTAATTCACACTGAAAAACAAAACAGACTCAACTGCACTCAATCACAAGAATCACAAACTCCACAATTGATTATTTATTTTATTACAAAGAGAGTGACAAATAAATAGAACAAAACAATGTAAAAATATAATGTTTAAGAGATCTGGGGTGTGGAAATGCCATAGCAACGGTTTGTTCTAACAGCAATATGTTTAAAATCAGATTGGTCCCTGGTTTTGTAGATTGATATGAGAAACATTTCACAACATTTCATAGCACCGCTGTGTGGTCGTCAGCCCTGCAATCAGCTCTGTTGACCATATAAATCAGACATTTCACATGAATGTAGGACAGACTTTGACAATGAAACAACTGAATTAGCTGTGGATCAGTTAGAAAAGGGCCACTGCTTTACAGTTTCATTTCATATAAATATAATATATTAATTTATACATTGTACACTATAATGGTTCTATACCACATACACAAATCAGGTAAACACGTGAATGAAAGGCAGCTGAGAATTTTAAAAATCAAAAAAGATGTCAGAAAATTGAAATTTAAAGTTTTTTTAGCCGCACAACTGAAAATACAAACATTGAGAGCAAGTTGATTCTGTGTAGAAACCTGTGCTTTTGTAATTATCCTGTAGAAAATATGCAAACTGATGTCTCATACTCCAACTTATGAAGGCATCGAGATCATTTTTACAATCTTAAGGAGCAAGTGACAAAATGTCAGAAGGTGTAGAAGGAGGGTTTCTGAGTATGTGCAAACATTCAGTTGATGACTTAAGATCACAACCCTGAAATGACTACAGATTTAAGCCTGTTTTGCAGCATTGATGATGAAATTCAAATGTCTACTTAATTGTGCCAAATGAAATGAGAAAATAGATGAGGATGTGTTTAGGATGCAGAAGTCTGAACTAGCGCACCAGGAGAAAGGTGAGTCCAGCGAGGCCCACACCAGCAGCAGCAAACAGTGCTGTCTTCATCGACAAGTCCTGGCTCACCTCTCTGGCACTGTGGGAGAATTTACAGAACCCCTCCTACAAAGAAAAATGAAAAAAAGGTTGAGAGAATGAAACTTTATGTTTACTGGCAAACAGAGAATATTTATCTGCTGCTATCAGTTTTTCACCATATACTGCAGGTGAGAATAAAAGAGCAAGTTTTAGCTGCCAAAATGTCTCCCAGCTAACAGTGGCTTAGTTGACGGCTGTTGGCAATTATACAATATATTTTGTAAAATGTGTCACATTCTGACAGCACATGGAAAAATATTTGGACTCCGAGGATGCTGCTGATATCTGCAATTTTTAAAATATTCTAACAGCACTGCAGTTCTTCAAAGTAAAAAAGAAACAAGAACACTGTCAAAGTGCCAACCTGTTAGTATAGAAAAATGGGGATTATTCAGAAACTGCAGGTGAAGTTATTCAAATTCATAATAACTGGGTAGCCAGGTGCTGTTCTGCCCCTCCAGCAGCTGTATTTTCTCCATCATGTTTTCAGACTGAAACCACACATTCGACCAGTGAGTACACCTGCTCTCAGCACCAGGTGTTCTCGCTGCTTTACAGCTGCTTGTTTTTCTCGTCATACCACACTAACTTTCAATATGGCTAATCCCAAATTCAACACACTGAAGCTTTGACTGTTACTACAAAGTCCATCTGGCTGAGCTGGTTATGTGTCTGTTGAAACCAGCTGCCATCTGAAGAAAGGAGGGGTGTGTGTGGGTGCGTGTGTGTGTGTGTGTGTGTTTACGTGGGTGTTTGGGAGAGGGCCAGGGCGAGCCCATTCACAAAAGCAGACATTCAATGTAGGCATGTTAATTTTGGTGAGGCCTCCGACTATAGTCTACCCAGAGTCCATCATAACTATCCCTCAAGTTTTTCCAGTAAATAAGCCACTGAGCAGGTTTTAAATTATCTTTGTCCTTTTGATTTTCTGTGGCTAACCAAGCCTTCAGTCCAAGACTGCCCGACAACAAAGCTTTAGTCTAACCATTACCCAAAATTCTGATAATCTAAACCCCAGCATTGTTTGATCAGGGCCCTGAATTTACACTGTTGAGGTCTGTCTTGTTGGAGCACACATTCCCCAGAATCTGGTCTACTGCTACGCTGCAGTTTCTATAATCACAGCTGCCACATGAGACTTGTGAATGCTCACTGGCAACAATAAAGTAAAAAAGGCTGCATCTAAACTATGCACTGGCCATATTTTAAACCACATTTTACCCAAAGATCTAAATATGTTTACCCGAGCAGGAAGCAAACATGATTCCATCGCACCAGGTGATTTCCAATGTAAGTAATTTAAAAATTATCACTGTTCCTCTTTATTCAAGTCTTACTGGGGTTTTTTTTTTTTTTTTTTTTTTTTTAACTGTCTTACTGCCTGAAGTAATGCTTGCTTATCTACAGCTGGTGTTTTTATGTGACTCAATCAGCAGTATCAGCCGTGTGACTCAATCAGCTTCAGAGATGACTTGTTATAACTTACCCATCCACCGTTCTCCAGCAGCCAGTCTTTCTTCTCTTCTCCCAGGTAATCAGCTATGGTCTCTGCCAGTCCCCTGCAGTTTCCGAGCCCCTGTCCCTGCCCAGGGTCCAGCCCCGGGTTCACACGGTTCTGCTCCAGCAGCAGTCTGGCCAGCACCCCAGTAAAGGTGAAAATGGAAACAACCCTCCCCCAGTTCAAGTGTCCATCTCCCACCAGCTCCTCCATCACCTTCCTGAGGCTGGAGCAGGGGTCCAGCCCACACTGCGTTACGAAGGTTTGAGCAAGGGTGTGGAAGCGAGCCTGGTGCTGCGTCTCCATGTCTTGGGCCATACTTCTCATGGCAGCGGCTGATTCGCTGGGAGGTGGAGGGGCTGGCTGTGGGCTTGTGCAGCAAAGATACAGGTAGTCCTCTGCCACAGCCCGGGTCTCTTTCCACAGCCCGCATGACATTTTCTATGGGGAGGAATTATTGTTTTATTAATTAAGTCAGACTGTATGAAGATGAGAAAATATGGCTTGTTAGTGTGTTGGGAAAAAAGAATAACCAGTTTAGGGCATTATCAATTCATCTGCCAGTTAGTTACTCAATTATTTGTTTTTCTTATAGAACATAAGACAACTGACAAAATTGCCCATCAGAGCACAAGGTGACATCTGCAAATTCCTTATTTGTCAAAGCTCAACTATATTTAATTTACAATTATAAAAAAGAAGATGTATTTGACTCTTTACCATGAAAAAAAAAAAACATGTACCTTAATTTCTGTCAATTGACAAATTCTCTCAGCTATAAATTAATCAGCACAGTGCGGTTATCTGTTACCCGTAAGCTCTGTCTCAGTTAGCGTCAGCCTTCCTTACAAGTGGTAACGTTATTCTTTTACTAACACCGGACAATTTTAGTGTTTTATTTTGTAAAACAAACAAAAAGCTGTGTAGGTTGGTCGTAAAGACTTGTTCTTGCATCGGAAGCTGTTGGTAAAGTATCCCACCAGGTGTTCAAATCAACAACTTGACGAGGTATGTTGTTGTTAAGTGTTTTAAGTTTAGACAGCTAATAGCACCGCTAGCATCATCACTTATGTTAACGTTAGCTCTCGATAATTGAAGCCGGACGATGCTGAAGGATAAATACAGCTACTACAACTTAACACCATAACAAACCGATATAAACAAAACTGTAGTTTTCTTGGGGAGGGGGTACATAACATTAATTATCCGTGTATTAAGTGGTGAATTTACGGTGGAGTGGCCGGCTGCCTCTCCCTAGCTACCCTGAGCATTGGTCTGTCACCAGAGTAATGGAGGACACAAAGGACCACATTCACACAGGCAGCGGTGAAGTAGCTCAACTACCAGAGCCACCTAGACGCATTTAAATCCCCTTTTCACTCGGTTACACAAACACCTCTGTGTGTCTGTTGTTCTGTATTTCCAAATGGACACGTACAGACCGACAAGATACATTTTTTTCGTGCGTAAAGTCAACAAAAAGCTTACCCTCCCAGCGATATCAGACTGCTCTCTGCACACACGGACGGCGGAAGGACAACCTTGGTACACACTCACAGCTTCCCCTCAGCTGGCCCTACGTTTATCATGTAACTCCGCCCCCACTAATAGTCTATAAATCGACCGCGACAAAAAACCCCCCCTTAAAAGTTCCGTTATGAAAATGACAGAACCATATTACCAATGGAAAGCTGAAGCGCTATCGTAGTCATGATTCATACCAGAAAACTAAAATTATAGTAGAAGTGTCATTATTCAGACGTATCTTTAAATATAAATTAATTGCAGTACTTTATTGAGAAATAATAAAGGTCAAATAGAGCCAAAAATCCGTTATGGCAGAGTATAAGCTGAAAAGATTAGTTGATTAATCAACTAATTCAATTACTAAAGTAAATTTAAAGCAAAAGATAAAATGAAAAATGCCATCTATGACAGTATATTGATATTACAAAACAAGCAAGCTCTGGGGGAAGTTATTTTTTTCAATATTTTCTGACATTTTATAAACCAAATAATACAAAATAATCAAATTACTGAATAATAATTACCAGTTGCCAGTTGCCAGTTGAAGCCACACTGTAGAGATAGGATAAATTACACAAGAAATGTGGGCTAGGGGCTAAAAATGGAGCCAGCTTTTTTATTATACCTGAAAAATAAACCAGATCACACAGTTTTTGAAGTGGAACACTGACTGATTGCTTTTTATAAAGGGACTTTACAAGACAAAGCGCTGATCTGTGGGCCTAAGATGATTTTGATTGACTTAGTATATGAAAACCTAATCAAACACTCTCACACTTAGCATGTTTATGCCCAGTTATTTATATTTCTTATCTTCCGGGGGAGCAATTCAGACCAATTATAGCTCTCACTTGGTGCAGTCATGGTTCAGCAGTGTGTGGTTTTACGATTTGGTTTCATCATCACTAAACAGTGTCACTCCTCTCACTTTCAGTGTGGGCCATCACAGTCTGTAAACTACACAGAGGAAGGTAAAATGTAGAGACTTCGTCTGCAATAAAAAAATGAATGGATCACAGAGTTTGGTGTATCAACTGATTTATATATGGGTACTTTCTCAGTGTGGTAATTCCCCTTTGCCTTTTCATCCTTCTGTCCCGTCGCACCTTTTCTTTCACCACTCTCTTTACCTTGGTGTTTTCCTCTGGGTGTTTCCCTCTTTGAATTCCAGAAAACCTTTAATTCGGACTACTGTAGAAATTGAAAAAACAAAGAAAGAAAATAATGAAACCCCCTGATGCCTCTTTTTTGTGATGATCTGCTGGGAAACATAAATGTGATCATCTGAAATAGAAAGTTCACAGGGTCTCAGAGAAGCTCACAGCAACTCACAGAAATATACTTAAAATGTTGATTTGTATTCCAATTTTTAATCACCACAGTGGAAGAAGCAAGGGTGCTGCAGTTCTTGAAGCAGAGACACATAACAACATTTACATTATTGACAGGTTTTTCGTCACAGTGCAGTGATAATATAAACAAGTTCATGAATGTTCTCAACACTCAGTAGATTTTGTGTGGAGATCAAGTGATGATGTGTTTAAAAAGAGCTGAACTTTGACCATTGTTTAAAAAAATAAAAGATGTGTAAATTATTGACACTATCTAATCAATAATGCTTTGACGACAAACACTTTGAAAACAAGATAAAATCACATATCAAGAGAGCATATTCCTCCAGTTAGGTGAACAAAATGATGGAAATTATATGAGATTATGAGGTTTCTGTAGTTGTATTTTTAATAATAACTATTTCACATAAACTGAGCTGAATTTCAGTTATATTTTACTTTACATTTTTGTTTACCATTTTCAAATTCATACTGTATGGTTTTTTTCCTTGCATTCCGGGCAGCCATTGTGAACCTTTTGTTTTGTAATGCCATGAAAATGAAATATCAGACAGAATAACTTTCTCAACTTGAGAAAAACTCATCTTCATTCATTTTTGTCAAAGTGGCGTCAATGTTGCAGTGTAGATAAAGTAGTGCAGACTTTTAAATTTAATCTGCACTGAAACTGCATTACCAAGAAATGACTGAAATGAATGCAAGCTTTATGTTTACTGTGATGTATTACAAAAAATCAACAGAGAAACCTGCTCTTTCATATGTGTTCTTAAATTATTTACTTAAAAAAAAACACAACACTAAAATGACTTTTCAGGAGAAGGAAGAAGAGCCTGACAGCTGTCTTTCAGATTTATATATGTCTTTGATCAATACACTATGGTTTTGACAGTGACATGCCCCCTGGTGGCAGTCAGTGTAACTGAAGAAGGGTCTGTCAGGACTAGTAATAGGCCAACAACATAGAAACACTTTCACTTCCTTGCTCTGCTCAGGTGTAGTTTCACCACAACACTCTCAAGGGTTCAAATGCTCCAGTTAGTTTAGAAAATCACAAGGGCATAATGAAAGAATCATCATGTCTCAGCCTATTTATATTTCTCCTCGGCACAGAATAGGGGAAATGCAAATTTCTGGCACTGGGACTGAATCTAGGTCAAGCTCGGTGGTGGTGGTGTTGGTGGTGGTGGTGGTGGTGGTGGGTGGGTGGGGTGGGGGGTTGAATTTGAACACAGCCGGTGTGGCACAATCAGTACAAAACTGTCTTGACAACCTGTTGTATTTTGTTTATGCACAGACATGTTAGATCACCTTTATCTGTTTTGGCAAACAATAGCTTTGATTTTTCTTTATAGCTGCACCTGCACATGAGGGTTTGAGTGAGGTTTGGGGAAATAGATCATGCTGTGTGTGAAATCCTGGTCTGGCAAGAAGAGAAACAAAATGTACAAAGACACATAAAAAATAAAAACTATTTAAATTTTTCTTTATTATTCGCACAGGAAATTCACCTAAGCTGTTGAGGTTAAAGTATTTTTGAAATAAGAATAAAAATATAAGGTTAATTTTAAAGTGTCTTCTTTAGGATAATCATGACACAACCTACAACAGTAATAACAATAATAACCGTGTGTGCACCTACAGCATTATTCTAGAGACAGGAGAACTGACTGGAGAATAATCCAGTGTGCATAATTTACAAGACAATCAGCAATACTGTCTGTAGGTCTACATAGCAGAGCAGACACATGATGCTGATTCCTACAGCTTATTTTGGCTCTTTACACTGACAGTTATTTCTCACTATATCAGCAAAAACACTAAACATATACTTAATATAATTATGCAATATCAATAACAAAGTAAGAATCCCAACTTGATGAACTGTACCCACCCTACAGTTATGATACAATGACATATTCTTATTCAGAGGAGACAGGGGAGAGGTTTTTGTGTTTCTGTTGACTCCAGGCAGGGAGTTGCAGTGTTGGCAGACACATAACGCTGGTGCTTATCTTTGCAGATCACAACCGTCATGTTAGCACTAGGACCAAATCTGAAAAGGAGAAGTGAGTACAGTGTGAAAAATCATTGATGTGGTACGTGTAAAGGTTCATTTACTGTGATAGAATTTAGACTCTAGATATATCAGTCAAAAGACATATTACAAAAATGAACATCAGCTTAATTGTAAAATCATGCTGTGTAGGGAAACCCCCGCTCACCCGTAAGGTGTTGTCCCAGGAAGCCGAGCAGAGAGCTGTGCCGTCAGGTGACAATCTGACTCTGCTGACGCGGTTCTCGTGGCCAAACAGGATGGAAACACGAGTTCCCTTCAAAACGTCCCACACATTGATGGTGTAGTCATTATAACCAGCGAAGAGCAGACGACCTGGGGGTGGGAGAGAAAGTACATAAAAGAGGAAGTGGGGGAATTTTGGAGGAGAAGGAGAAGTATGGACAAACAAAAGATTGGTTGAAATGAGGTATTCATCAACCTTTTCTCAAATCACTGTTTTATTTATATTAAATACTAAAATATTTTCTGAAATTGTTAACTGTCCCAGATGAATAATGCGTATTATTCAAAACACTAACAATGAATGATTGATTAGACAGACGATATCTTAGTTCATATTTAAGATGAACAAGGTCACACTTTCATGTTGAAAGTGTTTTTTTTTAGCTCAGAAACCATGTCTGGCTTTTTCTGAGCCTTTCCCTGAATCAACTCCACATGTATGGAGCACATTTTATATGATAACTTAACTTAAAGTGCTTTACAAGCTCCTTACCACTCAAAGAGAAGTCCACAGTGGAAGCACCAAATATGATGCTGTCCTTCTGGTAGACGGCTACTTCACGGTCAGCACGCAGATCATAGAAACGGCACTGAGAAAGACCAACAAACAGGACACCCAATGCTAATAACAATAATAACAATAGTAATTTTAGTCTGTGAATGGCCTATAATAGACAGTTTTATATTGTATAAATAGTGTTGGGGTTACTTTTGAGCTTGCCAGTATTTGAAACCTTGTTATCACACATATCTAATGGAAGAAATTTACTTCAGTAAGGAACAACTGGGATATCTGTATCTTATTTCTGATAGGTTTAATGCTGTAAGAGGTAGCCTACCAGTGTATATAATCATCTCATTAATATAAAAATAAATCACTGACTTCACCATGACACCAAAAATATGTCACAAAAATGATTCAGCATAAGCCTAGTAAATCAGTGTTACTTTTTTCTACAAAGGCACTGAGAATTTCAATTTAACAATCTTGCACAGTACACATATTGACATGACAAAACACAACAAACACACAAGCAGGTCGTGACATGACTCACTGTGGCATCATCAGAAGCAGAAGCAAATGCATCTCCACTGGGATAGTACCTGGACACACATGACCGAGGATGGAATTAGATGTTTTGCAACTCCAGTGAGCTTTCTATATGAAAGAAACTTTATTGATTTTGTTGTTAGTTTATCATTTTTTAAATAATGATAAATTCTGCTGCATGAACTGTATCACAGAGGTGAAACATGGGCTTTGTCTTACAGTAGATGAAGAAAAAAACAAACAAGGTTGATAAAAAGGCAGATACTGAATTATGCTCCCTTTTGTATAACACACAAACCATTTGGAAAGTCAGATTTAAAAGTTATTTTAGATCAAGTTACATAGA